CGATGAGCGGGGAACCAAGGGTGCTTGCAACATGAAGGCTAGCCAAACATCTGTATACACTGTGGTAACACAGGCCAGGTTGAAAATCAGCAAAGTTTCCCTTTAAAGCTTTTTTTTTCAACACATTCTCACTCCGACCTCGTCACATGAAGTTGCAGGGTACACGCTCACAAGCCGGGAACACGCTAGTCACAAGATATTATGAGTGGCTGTCAAGGAGGCAGCCTGTTGCGATGTATCTTGACACAGGGCGTTGTTTTTTTAGGCAACAAAACTACTTGGTTCGGGGTAGGAAAACATCATGGTTGATGTACATCATGTGAGTTGAGTGATGTGACAAAATAATGTAAAGTTGACGTTTAGTTTCACACAGGACACAAACACAAGTTTCCTAGGTCAAAATCCTGTTTGTTAGATCCAACAACACTATGTAGACTTTCTCAATCTTTATACGACACCCGCTGCTCTGACTGTCTAATAATGATGCTGATGGTTTTACACACCTTCACACACCTTCTCACGCCGACCTCGTCACATATCAACATATGGTCATGGACTTTCCACAACGAGATATGACGTGCTAGGTATCCTGCATGCATTGGTGTTGACATTCTGGGACGCTGTGTCAACTTCAGCCTGCTACATGCACTGACTGTTTTCAAAATACACTTCTGTTTTCACAGGAAATGTACAGCTTGCATACAGTCTCTTTCAAAATGAACACGCTACGTTGATACAGCACCGCCAGTTGTACGTGGTTGTGTTTGGCCAACACAGGCACATGGTTAGGTTTAGGAAAAAAGAAGGGTTTGGCTTTACAATAACACACGAAGCAAAGTTGGAGTTTGTTGGACCCATCCATCAACCTCCTGCCTGCCCTACTCGGACTTTCGCTCTTTCTAACTTACGCTATTGTCTGGCCGTGTTTCCCCTGATGCCACCAGGCACGTTACACAATAAAGACTACCGGTTGCATTTCATGTCGACATGAAAGGACATCTTTTTCTGTTGGTGTCTGACGCCGGAAGTCACTAATTTGATGACTTTGGAGCGAGACTGAGTTGTTTGTATTTAAGAAAGACGAGTTCGCCACACTTCCAACAAAATTTGGTAACAGTTTTATTTACAGATGGGCCCCACTGGTCGCGAGAAAAAATGAATCTCCTTGAAAACCTTTCACTGCTCTCATTGGTTGTAGGTCTATAAACTGAAAATTAACTGAGAGGTGCAAAATATTTCCTGCAACAGATGGTAAAGCCTGTTGTTTTTAGCTCAGAAAATGTTCAGAGATGCAGTTTGCTGCATGCTTTTGCTGCATGCTTTTGTTGAGGACGTACAGCTCCTCTTGTGGTTAAGAGGAGTGAGAAGTCAGCAGCTAATGATGGTGTAAAACAGTCAATATAACAGCAATCATGAACGGTTCTTGGGCATACAGTCATAAAAATGCACACAAAATATTAGGCTGATTGGTCCAGTGGTATGCAAAACTAGTTCAGACACATACAGACAACTAAATGCTCCTGGTGGAGATAAGAGGACACTGGGAACCCACGGTTTTGTCTTAACAATAATTAAGTTTTTTGTGTGAAAGCAAAGTCAATGTACAGTATTTCTCCCTGATGTGTAGTGGCGTAGTATAAAGTCCCATACAAAGAAAGCCTTAGCATACAAGTATCTTATAATTGTACATAAGAAAATGTACTTAGTTACATCCCACCACTGAAGCTCAGCAAATACCAAGTCATTAATTTAGGTGATTTATGTGTCATTTTGATCATCAGTTTTATACATTTTTGAAGAGGACTTTGCATGTTCCTCAGTCGGGTCATCAAACAGGACACAAGTGATACTGTGTGAAGCTGAAGTTTAACTTGTGTAACAAAGTGAGCATGACATTGTTATAAATCTTAAGTATATTAGATATAAAACCCTGTTGGACAACGTGAATCTACAGTCTGTGCCAGATTCTGTCAGGAGCCCATGGAGAGTTTGGCGATTATTGTGCACAAAATTAGCCTCACGGGGCCGTGAAGCACCTTTATTACAAGGTCTGTTTGGCTTTTTTCCAATTACGATGGAAACTGCTGCAGAAAATATTCACTAACTGGACCTCCTGAGTGTTTCTCCAATATTAATAGCTGCTTTTGCCTTCTGTTGATGCTATTTTCGTAGTGCAAACATGGCACACTGCGTGAACATGTTTTTATTTCCTTGTGAGAAGGGGGACACTGCCAGGCACAAATTGGCGTTTGTGATAAAATGGTCAAGAACATGGCTGTATTTATTTATTCTAAAGTCCTTTTTAAATCAATTAAAGGCTGTTTGATTTCTCTAAATCATCTTTTTGAGTTGCAGGCTTAGAAACCCCCTTTGCTTTAAAATCTGATTTGTATCATAATCTGTGCATTAATCTGACCCAATAATAACTGATTTTGAAGACATGAGCCTGTTAGGAATGTATGCAAACCTCTTATAAAGAAAATATTAGTGACATATTAAACTAAAGGGTGCCTAGATTTGAGCCGGGCCTCTCCACCATACAGTTACACATGTGAGCCAAAATATTAATACAATGAGATAAAGTCATTTGAGGAAACAACGTGTAAGAACACATATGTCGCACATACACACAGACATAAAGCACAAAGCTGATTAGAGGTTTAAAGAAAATCCAGCATATGTAAAACAATGAGTTGCCATCAGAGAATTAGTGCTTAAAGTTAATGCCTAGTTAATGTTTCTTCCTCTTTTTTTTTTTTTAAAGCATCCATTTAGCTTTCAGGACCCTATGACCCTGGATTATGTCGACAGTGGACATCCAGCCAACAAAGCACTCCTGCCCTTATGAGAACAGACCATTAGCAGGAGAAAAAAATCATAAAGCTCCTTATAAGAGCAAAAGGGAGATGCTGTAATAACAGATTACATGCATTTAATGGCCAAATTCACATCCATAAGCTGAAGCTGAAAGCATTTGACGCAAACAGATGAGTGAGTGAAGCTTCATCGAGGAAGATATAAGACAGAGAGGAGACAGCAGCGTGGGTGGCTACAAACGTAATCAAATCAAAACTACCTGAGCAGTGATTGTTGACAGTTTATAATGTCCATCTTATCTTTCTATAGAATGACACTATAAACTCACAAGGCACTTTATTAGGTACACCTTGCTAGTACCAGGTGGGACCCCCTTTTTAATTCTAGGTGTCACAGATTCAACAAGGTGCTGGAAACATTCCTCAGAGACTTTGGTCCATATTGACATGATGACATCACACAGTTGATCCATGATGAGAATCTCCCGTTCCAGCACATCCCAAAGGTGCTCTATTGGACTGAGATCTGGTGACTGTGGAGGCCATTGGAGTACAGTGAACTCATTGTCATGTTTGAGAAGATGTGAGCTTTGTGACATGGTGCGTTATCCTGCTGGAAGTAGCCATCAGAAGATGGGTACACTGTGGTCATAAAGGGATGGACACGCTCAGCAACAATACTCAGGTAGGCTGTGGTGTTTAAACCATGCTCAGATGGTACTAAGAAAATCTCCCCCACACCATTACACCACCAGCAGCAGCCTGAAGCGTTGATACAAGGCAGGATGGATCCATGCTTCCATCTGAATGTGGTTTTTCCAATCTTCTATTGTCCAGTTTTGGTGAGAAAACCCGTGTGAATTGTAGCCTCAGTTTCCTGTTGTTAGCTGACAGGAGTGGCACCTGGTGTGGTCTTCTGCTGCTGTAGCCCATCTGCTTCAAGGTTGGACAAGGTGTTGTTGCTTCAGAGATGCTCTTCTGCACACCTTGGTTGGAACCAGTGCTTATTTGACTTCCTGTTGCCTTTCTATCATCTTGAACCAGTCTGGCCATTCTCCTCTGACCTCTGGCATCAACAAGGCATTTTGGCTCACTGGATATTTTCTCTTTTTGGGACCATCCTCTGTAAACCCTAGAGATGGTTGTGCTGAAAATCCCAGTAAATACTCAGACCAGCCCGTCTGGCACCAACAACCATGCCACGTTCAAAGTCACTTAAATCACCTTTCTTCATCATTCTGATGCTCCGTTTGAACTTCAGCAGCTCGTCTTCATCATGTCTACATGACTAAATGCATTGAGCTGCTGCCCCTTTATTGGCTGATTAGCTATTTGAGTTAACAAGCAGTTGAACAGGTGTACCTAATAAAGAGGCCACAGTAGTCTAAAACTTCTCAAACTAAATTGTCGAAGTATCCTTGGGCAAGATACTGAACCCCAAACTGCTCCTCGACAGGTGTTCTATCGATGTGTGACCGCATGTAAATGGTTAGTGAGCAGCAGGTGGCACCATGTATGGTAGCCTCAGCCACCACTGTGGGTGAATGGATGAATGTGACATGTAGTGCAAAAAACGTTTTGAGTGGTCAGAAGACTAGAAAGGTGCTATACAAGTGCAGTCCATTTATCATTACCATGACGATTTACACACTGATGTGGATGCAACACAGCATGAAGACCAACATGAAACCTAAAATCTGAGCCTGTTCACATGGAAACATTATACTCATTAATCCAAAAAGGAAAGCCACTATTTATATGACATGTACAAACTGGACTCAGTAGCTTATGCTGGTCATGTTAACGGCTGAACATGAGAGCACCTAATGCATGTAATGCCATATTTTGGCACAAATATCAGAATACAAATGGACAGTATGGAGGTGGATTAAGCTTCAGGATTGGTTTGACATGTCTCTATGGACATTTTGATATTTTTTGTAGCTGACATGAATTCAAGGTTGGTGTACTAACTATGAAACTACAAACTTTTACAGAGACTCACTTTAGTTTTACTTTTACCTTCAAAAAGTCAGCCAAACACAATGTGAAACATTTGACAGAAAATGTTTTGACTTAGGGTCCATTTTCCAGCTGTTTTTTTATAGCTTCTAACTGCATTTCAACTGCATTTTGAAGGAATACTTTATCTCCTAAATGATCATTTGGATATCAGTTACTTACCCTGTGTTACGTTGAATTCATGAAGAAAACTGTCTTTGTCTTGATGCCTCTACGGTGAACAAAGAATCTGGAAACGAAGAAAGTTCATGATGAAGGCACAGGCGTTTAGTTGAGTTTAGTTTTTAGTTTAGTTTAGTTTGGCTTTTAGTTTAGTTTAGTTTTTAGTTTAGTTTAGTTTTTGGTTAGGTTTAGTTTAGTTTAGTTTTTAGTTTAGTTTAGTTTAGTTTTTAGTTAAGTTTAGTTTAGTTTAGTTTTTAGTTTAATTTAGTTTAGTTTTTAGTTAAGTTTAGTTTAGTTTTTAGTTAAGTTGGTTTTAGTTTAGTTTTTAGTTTAGTTTAGTTTTTAGTTTAGTTTATTTTTTAGTTAAATTTAGTTTAGTTTAGTTTATAGTTAAGTTTATTTTATTTTAGTTTTTAGTTAAGTTGGTTTTAGTTTAGTTTTTAGTTTAGTTTAGTTTTTAGTTTAGTTTAGTTAAGTTTAGTTTAGTTTTTAGTTAAGTTTAGTTTAGTTTTTAGTTTAGTTAAGTTTAGTTTTTAGTTAAGTTTGGTTTAAGTTTAGTTTAGTTTTTAGTTTAGTTTAGTTTTTAGTCAAGTTTAGTTTAGTTTTTAGCTTAGTTTAGTTTTTATTTAAGTTTGGTTTTAGTTTAGTTTTTAGTTAAGTTGGTTTTAGTTTAGTTTTTAGTTTAGTTTAGTTTTTAGTTTAGTTAAGTTTGGTTTTAGTTTAGTTTAGTTTTTAGTTTAGTTTAGTTTTTATTTAAGTTTGGTTTTAGTTTAGTTTTTAGTTAAGTTTGGTTTTAGTTTAGTTTAGTTTAGTTTTTAGTTAAGTTTGGTTTTAGTTTAGTTTTTTGTTTAGTTTAGTTTAGTTTTTAGTTAAGTTTAGTTAAGTTTAGTTTAGTTTTTAGTTAAATTTGGTTTTAGTTTAGTTTAGTTTTTAGTCAAGTTTAGTTTTTAGTTTAGTTTAGTTTAGTTTTTAGTTAAGTTTGGTTTTAGTTTAGTTTAGTTTTTAGTCAAGTTTAGTTTTTAGTTTAGTTTAGTTTTTAGTTAAGTTTGGTGTTAGTTTAGTTCAGTTTTTAGTTAAGTTTAGTTTAGTTTAGTTTCATTTAGTTTTTAGTTTAGATTAGTTTAGTTTAGTTTAGTTCAGTTCATTAGGATCCCCACAACAACTTTACATTTGTGACAGTTCACAAAATAACTCACATATAACATTGAACAGAATAACAGGACGAGACTAAAACACTGACACAGACAAACAAGACAATACAATAATTAAGATATATACTTTTTCATGATTATATTTGGTAAGTAACAGCCATTTTAGGGCTAAATTGAGCTCTGATGATGCTCCATTATTGTAATATTAGACCAAGTATTCAGGGCCGGCTCTTGGCAAAGGCCGTATAGGCGGTCACCTAGGGCACCACATGCTGGCGGGGGCGCAGCTGCAAGCCCTCAAAAAAGTAAAATAAAGTAAATACTAATAATAATTTGCTCCCAACTGGAGCCCTTTCCTCATGCTCTGTCTTGCAAAAAAAAGAACAAATTAAAAAAAAGTAAACAACAACCCCCTGTTGTTTGTCATTATTTGACCTGGCCCTGAACCTGTCCTGCACCGTGCTCAGTCACGTCACTGTGGGCGAGGGGGGTGGGACGAGTTATCTGTGCACATCTCAGGTAGGTAGCGGTTGTGACTGACAGACAACAAGAGGTCATAATTTGTCGAATTATTGGGTTATCATCATGAGAAGACCTCCAAGCCCTCAGGTGCCACATACAGGAAGCGGAGGAAAGAGGAGGTGGAGGTCCCAGTATCAAAGTATGTTGTCTTTTATAACATTAAAAAATGCTGTTTGACTTTTCAGTTGTACGAGCTAGCAGCTTGCGAAGCTGAAATAAAGCAAAGTTGCCTAATAATACTACTGTAGATAATGATGTGATCGCTGCCAAGGATTGAGTTAAGCTGCTGAGCTGGTTTATTGTTGTTGTCAATAAGTTGGCCAAGCCTTTAAACATTAGTTTACATTTCCATAGCGACGGAAAACAATGGGAACTGTAGCTTGCACACAGATCCCAATTTTTATTTGAATGCAATATTGCCACATATTTGACTTTTTTAAGAGGAGTCCATTCAAGAATACCAACAGCATCTATTATTAAAATCTGTCTTACATACTTCTGTTATTATGGTAAAAGTAGCACAATGAAATATATTTGATGACAAATACAATTTACAGAGTAAATATGGCCTAACTCAAAATATAATCAAAGTATAGTGCAACTATCAATATTTATTCAAGTTGTCTGCAGGACATACTGGGGGAGGACCCTAATCCTAAGGGCACCAAAGTGGCTAGAGCCGGCTCTGCAACTTATACATATACTACACATTCCCAGTGGTTTGTTTCCATACACACATTACATGGGCATTAAAAGGAATAGTTTAACTAAAGTAAAACTATCAAAATCTGTTCCGACTCTCTGCAATAATGTGTCAATTAACCGCTTAGTTGATTGGAAGAAAATAAATCAGCAGCTTTATTGATAATTGATTAATCATTTGACATTTTTCAAGCAAAAATGTCAAACATTTGTTGCTTCCAGCTTCTTAAATGTGAGAATTTGCTGTTCTCTTTGTCAACTATGATAGTAAATGAGTCTTTGGGTTTGGGGCTTTTGAAGACGTCACCTTGGGCTCTGGGAAGTTGTGATTTCACAATGTTTGACATCGGCAGAGTAATCGATAATGAAAGTGATCATTAGTTCCAGCCCTGTTCCCAAACAGACAGCTCTTTCCCACAAGGATCTGAACTGAAAGGTGTGTTCTCTTCAACACCAGACTGTATTGACAAAAAATGCAATTTGATTTCACTGAAAACAGGAGCTGTTGGTCCATCAGTTGATTTGTTTGTATTATTGTGTGACTTTGGTGAATCTGAGCTAATTTATCAAGGACTTTCTTAGTTTTTGGATCCTTCATCCATCGTACAGGCACGCGAGAAAAAATACGTTTTCTCTAAGAATTTAATGTAACACGGGTCGAGCAGTTGATATACCAATGATCATTTGTGGAGGATGTTTAGTCTTCTTTAGAGGACAGAGTTTGCTCAGTTGTGAAGCTACGATTATGAACGTTGATCCTCAAATAAAGTGAAATAATTTCCATTAACTTTGACCCAAAAACTGACCAATACCCAAAGAGATGTCATGGAAATTTTATTTTGTCTTTTCACAACTAAAAGTAGTCATCAATTTCTGTCTCTTTGTCTCTACACACACGCACACACACACACACACACACGTATACTTATATATATATATAAAAAACACTTATATATATATAAAAAACAGTGAGAATACCGTAGAATAAGGTCACATCTGGGCCAACAGCTCGCTAAAAGGACAACCTGTTAAACACTCAGTGACCTAAAACCACCAAACCTCTCCTCTACTACAGTTACAATACAAAGGTCAAAGGTCAAGGGGCCTCCATTGCTTGTCAGAAAACCATACAGTGTTATATAACCTCACCAAACAACAGCCATTCATGTCCATCTTTACTACAATTACAGACAAGTGGGACCTGATTTAAAAAGATAAAACAAAAACAAGGCTGCGAGCTTCAGGACAGGCCCGACCATCACACGCTCCACGTTTCATCTCGCTCTGTGTCTGTCTGGGCAGATGGAGAGGTAGTACAGTAGAGGAGGACGGATGCAGAGTTTGTTGACAGATGCCTCTCTCCCTGCCCCGCCTCGTCTCGGCCCACCTGTTCAGGGCAGCAGCGAGCTCCTGGAGGCGAGCGTGTCTGTTGCGGACGCACGCCGGGAGGAGGCGGCCGGGGAGGGGCGGACTAGAAATGCTGGCACACGCTGTCCTGCGGAGATCTTTCTCCAGTTACAAGTCCTGTAACAGGGCGTGTGTGTGTGTGTTGTGTTAGGTGTGTGTGAGCCAGCGCAGGTGTCTCTATATGCTTCCTGTGGTAACATGAAGAACAAGCATTAATGTGTTTGTGGATCAATCATATGTGTGTAAGCGTGTTTGTGTGTGTGTGTGTGTGTGTGTGTGTGTGTGTGTGTTTAGGGGAGCAGGAGGAGTGTGTCCTCTCTGCACCCCCACAGCCGCCACACGCCTGACCACCTGCTCTGGGATTAGAGAGCATGCGGATTACACGCGTCACAATGGAGATACACAAACACAAATATGCCCTCGGCCAACAAAGGATACACGCACACACATNTTTAGTTTTTAGTTTAGTGTAGTTTTTAGTTTAGTTTAGTTTTTAGTTAAGTTTAGTTTAGTTTAGTTTATAGTTTAGTTTAGTTTATTTTTTAGTTAAGTTTATTTTAGTTTAGTATTTAGTTTAGTTTATTTTTTAGTTTAGTTTTTAGTTTAGTTTATTTTTTAGTTTAGTTTAGTTTAGTTTTTAGTTAAGTTTATTTTAGTTTAGTTTTTAGTTAAGTTGGTTTTAGTTTAGTTTAGTTTAGTTTTTAGTTAAGTTTATTTTAGTTTAGTTTTTAGTTAAGTTGGTTTTAGTTTAGTTTTTAGTTTAGGTTAGTTTTTAGTTAAGTTTAGTTAAGTTTAGTTTAGTTTTTAGTTAAGTTTAGTTTAGTTTTTAGTTTAGTTAAGTTTAGTTTTTAGTTAAGTTTGGTTTTAGTTTAGTTTCGTTTTTAGTTTAGTTTAGTTTTTAGTCAAGTTTAGTTTTTAGTTTAGTTTAGTTTTTATTTAAGTTTGGTTTTAGTTTCGTTTTTAGTTAAGTTGGTTTTAGTCTAGTTTTTAGTTTAGTTTAGTTTAGTTTTTAGTTAAGTTTGGTTTTAGTTTAGTTTTTCGTTTAGTTTAGTTTAGTTTTTAGTTAAGTTTAGTTAAGTTTAGTTTAGTTTTTAGTTAAGTTTGGTTTTAGTTTAGTTTAGTTTTTAGTCAAGTTTAGTTTTTAGTTTAGTTTAGTTTAGTTTTTAGTTAAGTTTGGTGTTAGTTTAGTTCAGTTTTTAGTTAAGTTTAATTTAGTTTAGTTTCATTTAGTTTTTAGTTTAGTTTAGTTTAGATTAGTTTAGTTTAGTTTAGTTCAGTTCATTAG